AGCTACTTTGTAGAGCAGTTGATTAATTAGCGAGGCTTTTGGGGTAAATAAGCATTTGAATAACCTGCCCGTTGGATTTTGGGTCAATGAGTTGCACGACTAAGAACTCGATCCATCTGCTAGCGTAACGTGCAGAAGGCTTGGTTAGGGTCGGATTTGATAATCCGGTATCGCTTAGTAAATGCATTGTTCGGGCAAGCGCATGGGAATAATAATTATCAAACAAGTCTATCTACGCAAACAACTTATTTGATAGTGGGGGGACTAGATGATGTAGCACAAGAGAGCACTTGGAATAAACCGGCAGAAATCAGCTCGGTTTATGAGCTAGAAGTATATTGCAGGATTGTGGGTCGGTCAGATGCAATAGTCTGTCAATGAACGGGCTCGGCCCAATCACAAGTCGGCCAGGTGAATGGGTCAGGTAGGTTGAAGAAGTGGGCTAACACTTAAATGGCTGGGTAGTTATCATATCAGCGGATAAAGGAGTAAGCGTGGAGAAGAAGTTAATGACTTGCATATAAATAGGTAAAGCAGGTATGATGAGAGGGCTAAGTTTCTTTACCTCACAAAACCCTAATATACAAACTGAACTTTCCTCGATACCCTATTAACTTGAGCGTCGGAGGTTTACCACCGGGAACACTTCCCGGCGTCTTTGCAGGTTTTGGAGGGCTCAAGCTGTTGGGTTCAAGGGAAGCTGGATCAGTGTGCAAAAGCACATCATAGAGTATGTTGTAAAATTGAATGTAGAGTATGTTGTAAATCAATTCACACGGTTAAATTTGTGATAATTAATAGTAACAAACTAAAAAAAGAAATATCAAAATATTTGATGACATATGACATGCATCCCGCTTCGAGGAAACCTTTATATTATAGCAGAATGTTGGCTGCATCTAATAAGTTTTTTTTTTCTTTTTTTTTTTGCAACCAACATTCTAGCTATACTAAAGTAAACAATTATATTATTAACAATATATTATAGTTATATTATCAAATCGTAAAAAATATTAAATCCATATTGTAAGAAAAATAATTCATATAATTTTATAACAATTCTACTATATTATTTCACAGTATTCTTTTTTATTATATAATGAAATAATAATTAAATATTATATGGTGAACAAGAATAAGTAAAACTATTACTTTCTCTTATATCAGGGATAAATTTATATGGTAACATTAAATTTTTATTAATATAAATATTTTAATGGATAATATATTAATTATTTTACAATCTAGCCCTAACATACTCATATTTAATGTTCTGACTAAAGAAACAACGCTGGTTAAAAGATGTGAAAAAAACTTATAACCCTATTGTTGTTTAGACTTAACGTTGATTAAAAGAGGTAGAAAATAGATAATAACCCTATTAATTTTTAGACTTAAGTGAAAAAGACTGTGAAGATAACTCATTTAATATTTTTGTCCCGAGTATGTACTAGTTTAAAGAACTAACAAACTAAATAATTAAAAAAAAAAAAAAACTACAGCCGGTGGTTGTGCGGTGCACAGCGGAGACCATCTAGTACATTGTAGAAGATCGACATGCCTTCTCAATTTCCTTCTATTCTTCAGATTCAGAAACACAACACAATAGACGCGGGTTACATAAACCAACCGAACAAAAAAATCAAACCCTAACCTCTCTCTGTCATTCTAAACTCTCATCCCTCAACGGCAAAATTCAAAAACCTAGCAGCGGCGGTGGTGAGGCGGCGTAACGGCGAGCGGAGAAAGGGAAGGTGGCGTCACGGCGAGCGGTGAAAGGTGATCGTGCGGCGATTGCGTGCGGCGAGCAGTGAGGTGGTGACACGGAGAGCGGTGAGGTGGCGACACGACACTCATAGTGACTCCGACTTCGAACGGCGAGGCTGGTAAAATGATGGCTGAACTGAACTTTTACTTTGCTATCAAATTATCATGAATTCTGTAATTGATGGCTGAACTGAATTTCTGAAAGTGCTAACATCTGTGTCCCAATAGCCCATTATCCCAATTCAGCTCGTTTATTGTTCAATCATTGTGTTTTTATCTTATCTTTTCTGTCTGCAAATCAAAATTATCTTAGTTTTCAGTGATGAATTTTTAACTTTAGATCCCATCCTTTTGTATGTATAATTATACTTATTTGGTTATCTCATTTTGTGTTGGTGCACTAGACAATCTGCGGACGATATGGTGGAACTGGAACAGCAGCAGAGCCCAATTTCAGGTTTCTATTATTTTGGCTGTGTTTCTTGGATATTGTTTGTAAAACTCATATGATTTAAAAAAAAAAAAAAATTTATGCAATCGTGTTAAACAGTTATGTAGGACTACAACATATTTAGAGGTAGGTCATTAATTTGTGTGAAGTTTATTACAATTTATCATTTGGAGGTAATGTCATTGTCCACTCTTATCCAAAACCTCTTTTTTGCTATAGGGCGGTTGTATACGTCAATAGAGTCACATTTCTTCAGATTGTTTTAGTCTTTTAAGGTACTCAACGATGTTTTATTTTTCATCTACCCTGCCTTTTTCTTACCTCAAACTAATTCACAATGCCTTGTGTTAAAGGGCCTATTTGGGTTGCAACAGAAATTGCGTAACTCAGTCTACTGTTTATCCCTGAATTTGTTTTCATTGACAGTCTTCGAATTTTTACTTTACACATTATTTATTTGCTTCATTCATATCGCTTATCCTTTGAGAAACCTTATTTTATGATTGAATGTGTGAATTTTCATATTAGTTAAGAGATTCTATTTTTTCTTAGATTAAAAATTCAAGTTTGATGTGATTAGAAATTGAAAACCGCAAGTGATAGGACACGTAAAATGTGCAGATCGAGATAGTGATGATGATATTGTCGCTGAAGGTGCCTCAATTGTGCATGGAGAACCTCCCCAAGATGAAAGTGGGCCTCCTAAAGTAGATACTAAAGTAGAAGTTCTCCATGAGAAAGTGACTAAGCAAATTATCAAGGAAGGCCATGGTCAGAAGCCATCAAAATATTCTACTTGCTTCTGTAAGTCTGTTGAGAAAACTTGTAACCGACTCGTTGAACATCTTCTGACATTTCAACTCAAGCTATCAAATAAGTATAGAATTAGGTGAGTTATGAGAGAAAAAGCATGCCCGTGAAGTCAATTGTCAATTGGTCTCTCACTTAGTGCAAGAGACAAGAGTCTCATCTTCAGAAAGATTGGGGTCAATATTATCCTTGTTGTGCTCTCATGTGAAAGAATTACAGGTAGTAATAATCGATTTGAAAAACTAATCTATTCCACTCTTATTTTCTCCTTTCTGGCAGTGCATTACAGGGCATGGACTGAAAGCACCCAACATAAGTTTGAAGATACATGGCATGAACAACAACTGCTTGAGCTTATCCTAGGAAAAGGTTTGCTCAAGAATTTCCCAAACACTTGCCACCTCTTTTCGGAGCTCCTTAAGGCTAAAACTCATTGTCAGTTGCTGCAAAATTTTCTGTGATTCTATAACTACATCTGACATGATCCATTCTTAATGGGAAGATCAAATAAAATTTCAGTAAAAAGTTGATCCTTTATTATTAGCTTTCATTTTCAAGCATCTACTTTTTTGTTGTTTGAAAATTTGATAATTGCCCTCGACTGCAGAGAAAAAAGAAATGACTGGGTTGGCTATTGGCGTTTCCTCTATGAAATCTGGTGAACGTGCCTTGCTGCATGTTGGCTGGGAACTAGGCTATGGAAAAGAAGGAAGCTTCTCTTTTCCAAATGTGCCACCAATGGCGGACATCGTGTATGAAGTTGAATTGATTGGTTTTGACGAGACCAAAGAAGTGCGAATTTTCTATCTACCATCATGAACACCTTCTTACATGTTCAAACATTTTTATTTATTTATTTATTTATTTTTTTGTGGATTATATTGATAAAAAAAATTAACAGCTTTGGTGATTAATTTTTGTGAAAAGGGGAAAGCACGAGGTGACATGACGGTGGAGGAAAGAATTGGTGCAGCTGATAGAAGAAAGATGGACGGCAATGCATTGTTCAATGAGGATAAATTGGAGGCGGCAATGCAACAATATGAAATGGTAAGAAAGCAATCTTTGTGAGCAGTTGATTTGCTTGTTTTAATTTTTTCTTTTCCGTAAAGCAGTTTTTGCTTTGTGCTCTAGGCCATAGCATATCTGGGAGATGATTTCATGTTCCAGCTGTTTGGTAAGTACCGTGATATGGCTTTGGCGGTTAAAAACCCTTGCCACCTCAACATGGCAGCATGCCTGATAAAGTGCAAGCGGTACGAAGAAGCCATTGCGCAGTGTGGTATTGTACGTATGAATTTTGATTCACTTACGACTTACGAGTCTGTTCTGGAATATTATTGCACCTTTTTCCAATTTAGACTGTAGAAGGAAAATCCAATCCATCCCAACCGTTGTATACTACTATATTTAGGATGAAAAAAGGAAGTTGAGAAAAAAAAAAAAAAAAAATTGTCTGCCCATTTGGCATGTACAAGGATGACATGTCTTGTAAATCTGCAGTCATTATGAAGCTTCCAGTTCTTCCTTGGATCAAGCAAAAATAAATTAGGCATTTAAATGAGAACATAACTTGCAAATGGTTGAGGAACTGGAAGTTTGCATAAGAAATTTTCTTCCTCATGTGAAAAATGTTAAGAATAACCGGAAAAATGCTTGCCTATATATTGCTGCTAAAAGATTAAATATCCTAAGCCGACATGCTGCCTGCTTATTTAATCCATTATTTTTATTTCTTTGTTCTTAATTCTATGACTTACTACTATATATTGTTTGTAATGCCATATTAAGCTGCCACTTTAATGTTTATAATCCAATGTAAAATGTGATTAATTGCATTCTTGGTAATGGCTCTTCGATTTGTTCTTCCAGGCAATGCTTGTGATTCTTCCTCTTCTCGACTAATGATTTTCTTCACCTCCATCATTACCGTGTTGCCTTTGTCCATAACTTTTTTGTTTTGTCTCTTTTCCCTAAGTAACTTGATTATGGCAGGAGTAAGCAACTTATGACAGATAATTGAATTGCAAAATGAAATAAGCTGCTGATTGGGCAATAATACTCTTGCAGGTTTTGGTGGAAGAAGAAAACAATGTAAAAGCCCTTTTCCGGCGTGGCAAAGCTAGAGCTGAGCTCGGGCAGACAGAAGCAGCCCGTGAAGATTTTCTCAAGGCACGTAAACATGCCCCAGAAGACAAAGCAATTGCAAAGGAGTTGCGTCTGCTTGCGGAACACGACAGGGCTGTTTACCAGAAACAGAAAGAGATCTACAAGGGGTTGTTTGGGCCGAGGCCCGACCCAAAACCAAAAGCAAAAAATTGGCTGGTTTTGATCTGGCAGTGGCTGCTGTCATTATTTTATCGACTTTTCAACCGCCAGAGGCAGAAGGCTCAATGAGGGTTTGTTCCTTTTCACGAGTCGGATAGATATATGGAAGCGCATGCATTTTGACGTGAATCTATGACTGATTTATGAATGCAAGCACCTTCCGGGGAGCCTATGATTGTTATTGTTAGTGAACTATTTGTCAGGGAAGTGGAACTTTTGTATGTAACATTATCAAAATGTGTGAAGGTGCAGTTGGTTGGGAACGTGGTCAGGTTTAGGCCCAATAAACTCCCAAGACTAAAAATTGCTGCATATAATAAAACCATGTATGTCACCGCTTCTTTATGTTTTGCAAGAGTTATTTTGCTGCATTATCAAAGTTCATTTTCTTTTGTTTAAACACATCACTTATCAGTTCCCACACAATTCTAAGCTAAACACAATACAGTGCCATTGAACTCGAAAGTCGGTACAAATTTTACAATTAAAATAGCAAATCATAAATGTTACAAGACTCGATATACAGGATAAGAAAAGGAAAAAAAAAAAAAGATTTAATAATTTAAAAAAAAAAGATAAAGGAACTTGATAATATCCCATCAAATCATCAATCATCATGGTTGACCAATCCATGCACAATAAGCACAGACAATCTTCTGTGACATGTAAACATACACAGCAAATGATAAGCTCATTAGTGTTATGTCCTTCCAATCTCCGTTGCCTTTTGGGCTTAAATTATCCTTTATTCCCTTCCCAATTTCCTCCATACCACCCAAAAGCTTCTGCAATATCAATCCCTTCACTTCCTTCATCTCCCTATTTGTTTTTGCATTAAACCGATCGTTAGGATCGCGATTTTGGCCTGAAATTGGTTTCAACATTCTTGAATATCTTTTGTTACCAATGATAGGAATTGGTTTGCGTTTAAAGGGGCATAGAGGGCCATTTGATAAGGCAGCCATGGGAATAAAACAACTGTATAACATGAGAATTATGTATGTGGTTTGAAGATTTCAGCTTTGAGGAAGACGAGCAATGACAGGCTTCTTCTTCTTCTTCCTTTTTTGTTTTCTTGGTGAAAATGATTGGAACTGTGTAATGGTAGAGAGAAGTATGAGAAATATCTCAGGTTGAAGAATTTGTTAGCATAAAAGGTGTGGATAAGGCAGAGGAGTGTGTGTGTGTGTGTGTATGGGCCTCCTTGCACTAAAAACAGAGGAAAGGGACAACTATCACAACTTGGTGTTAATTACAGAGATTACCAATTCTTATCTAGCAAATGCCAAGGGTAAGTTCACATCTGATTAGACGCTTTACCCTTTTTTTATTATTATTATTTTTGGCAAATAAACTTGAATCCATACGATCAACTGATCAATAATACAATTCGAAAAAAATGAGATAAAAAATACAGGAGACAATCTTTCCACAAGAAGGATCCCGTCGAACGAATAGTCCATTTAGCAATATTATGAGCTATATAACATTGTGCTCGCGACTAAGAGCATCTCTAATGCTCTAATGTTGTTGTAGAATTTTTTTGACAAATGTCAAAAAATTAAATAGATTGTGAACCATGTAGGACAAATGTTGAGTTCACAACCATTAAATTAAAAAATCATCTTCAATGCACAATGTTGTCTAATTACAATAATATCTACTTGCCAAATAATAAAATTTTAATATAAATTAATAAAATAAATTAAATAATTAAATAGTTTGAAAATGGTAATAATAATTCTCTCTTTTCTTCTCATTGACTAATTAGAGTGTGGAGTAGAATGTGGATGAACCACATTCTTCTCTACATTGTAGACATTAATTATGTCTACATCATCACAACATTTGTGATTACATTATACATTAGAGGATGAAAAATTGTGATATTAATAAATGTGTTGATGTGCAATGTAATTTTCATCTACAACATTGAGCATTGGAGATGCTCTAACATGACTAAAGTTGCCACAATTCAACAACCTCAAAAGAACAAAAATATCATAAAAAACCTTGTGCAACGGGTCTTTAGAATGTTGGTCTTAGATGCCACTATAATAGAAGCACCGTCTTGTTTGGCGGTTTGGAGCATAAAGCCTGAATCCAACGCGAATCAAAGTCCGAATCGGAGAGCATTGCTTCAGCTGTTTTCGGGGTAAAGGACACAGATTGTTGGGAGGAAAATGCGGTCCTAAGATATACCATCTGAACCACAAATCCAACCACCAAAACCGATCGATACATCATTTACAGTCACATCACAAAAAATAGTAAACCCATTTTGACATGTACCTGGGCCACTCCAAGATAGTATGGATGTCGGGGAACTCAATCGTTCAATACTGGAAGAAAAATGATTCGCGACGTTTATCTCTTTCAACCATACATTTTCGATAACCCAGATTTGTTTACACTCTTTGCCAATATGCCATGTGGACCGGGTAATAATGGACCCAGTCAAACCCGGTCAACTCAACCTTGACCCGATTGACCAAAATCATTGACCCGGCCGTGTCAACCCGATTGACCCCACCCCTACATATCTTTTTATTTTTTTTTAAATATTTTTTATTTGAAAAATAAAAACTATGTATATATATTTATATAGCAAATATTTATTGTGAGATACAATGTTATTGACACTGATGTACAAATTTTATATAAAAAATATTTAATTTGTTAATTATATGTATATATATGTCAAAAATACTATAAATATAATTTTAAAATATTTAAAATTAATTATCCGGCTAAGCAATTGACCGGTGACCCAGCGACCCAGAGACCTGCCCGGGTCAATTCCTGGGTCTAGTTTAAAAACTATAGTTTTAAAAGTATAATGTTAGATAAAACTTTTGGTCATTCGAATCCTACAACCAACATTTTACATATCAATTAATGTCTATCTTAAATCATTTATTCTGAATCACTGAAAATCAATTTGTAAAAATAAATATAGCATGAGTATCTACTCACGACGTAGAATATTTTATGCACAATATAATTCAAACCAAATTCTATTTATTTGATTTTGTAAAAAAGTCAAAACCGATTAGCTATAAAAAAGTCAAAACTGAGTCAAACCCAATTCTATTTATTTGATTTTGTAACACTCACTTCCCAAACTTTTCATGGACACGGTTTATATAATTATAATTAACAAGTTTGGTAGTGTTTTGAAATGAGAAGACTATGCCCCCGCAAACAAAACCATGGATGCTTGTATTTCCTCTAGTGTTCGGCCCTTGGTCTTAGGGACCAGCCTTGTAATAAAGACGATGGTAAAACCACTTGCAATTGCAAAGACGAAAAAGGTGTCTGAATTGATCCAACAAAAACGAACACACTCTATGATTAGGCATTGGATAACCGAAAATCATTTGGAAAAAATAAGGAAAGAAGAAGAGAAGAAGAAACAATAAAAATTACCGGCGGAGGTCCACTGTGCTAGAAAGTTAAAGGAATAAGTAATAATCCAAGAACCGAGCCAGTTGATCACGGTCACAAGACTTCCAGCTAAACCTTTCACATTTATAGGAAATATCTGAAATAATCATGCAACAATTATAACACATTAAGATTAGTTGTTTATGAGATATAGTCGATAGCGATTTTCAACTTCAGCTGCACCATTTAAGAAAAAGTTAATTCTTGACGACTGTTTACCTCTGACATTATAACCCAAGGTATGCCTCCTAGTCCTAACGAGTACGATCCTGTAAATATCTTATGGAAGTTACCAGGAAAAGAACTTGTATTAGCCTTTTACTTTCTTTACAATAGCGTTGGATAATTCATTATTGTGGTAACATCAAATATACTCTGAAAATGTTGTAAAACAGTAACAGTTTGCACAACAAAGTAATACTTTTTACCAGGATGCCGCCAAATGCTAGGAAAGGACTAAACTCCCAAAGCTTATGGTCCTGCACTATGAAAATGGCTCATTTTAAAATCCCATAACCAACCTTACTGAGAGCACAAGGAAGATCGGTGAACAAGAATAATTAACCTGTAAAAAGAACGATAGCCCAATCAGAGTGCACCCCAAGCATGTTCCTGCAACTGAAACCTGTAGCAACATAATCCCATGTTTCATTTTAAACAACTCAAGATTTTTATTTGTCAGATAAAATGTACGCGCTCTTTTGGATTCTATCAGTAAAAGGGACAAATGTGATTGTCACTTAATGAAATGTAACAGTATTTACCAATAGCAACGGACGTCTCCCGAATATGTCCATCAGCAGCGTTTCCAACAGAGTCACTGGAACCTGGAAAAAATGGGGATGCCTTCAAAGTGAACAAGGAAAGCCAAAAAATGGTGTAAAGAGAAAAAGAAAAAAATAATACTTCTTACCTTAACAATAACCATTGCTGTTGTTCCAACTCTATATGAAAAACCTGTAATAATCAAGCCGTTATCATCTCTCTACCACCTATCTACGAGCCATCTTTAGCAATTCATAGCATTTAGAACAAAACTTACTAACCAGTTGATGAAAATATGGCACTTGCATAATACATAATTGCATTAACTTCTCCAAATTGTTGTAGCATCATCAACCCTACTCCAACCTGAGTTAATCAGAATTCGGACCACATGCATTCTCAAGTCACACACAGAAGAACCGGGGAATAAAAAAGAAAAAAACATGGTACATTACGATCCAAACAGAATTAAGTGTAAGCTTACTAAAAGTGCGTGGGCATATTTTTTTTTGAAACAATTCTATCATTCCCGAGTCCTTGAGCTGTTCTAAAGTTCTTGTATAATCCTGTAAATATACAGAACGCTTACGCAACTGATTTGCATCAAATAATTAAAACAAAAATTTATTGAAAGCATAAATAATAAATCTGTTACTTGAATTTCTCCTGCTTCTTCAAAAATATTGGAGTTCTTTCCCCTAAGGCATACTAGAGATGCCTTATTCCTTCCCACTGACCAATCTTAGCCTGTACAAAGAAAGAGTATCAATTAAGAAGGTGTTTGGGAAAGCTTATAAACTCATCAGAGCATCTTCAAAGATGATTGAGACAGAGAGACAGAGAGAAATAAGAAATAA